AAGGCGCCCAGCTGACGTCAGCCTCTACTGACCACACCCAGACTCTTATAAATAATTCATTGCCCTCATTTATTTTTATTTCTATAGCTTTAGGGGTACAAGTTGTTTTTGGTGACATGGATGAGTCACATAGCAGTGAAGCCTGAGATTTCTGTGCACTGGTCAGCCAAGTAGTGTACCTTGTACCCGATAAGCAGTGTTTTATTTCTCACCCCTCTCCCAGCCTACCCCCTCCTGAGTCTCCATTATATTCACACTGCCTGCCTTTGATTACCCATAGCTCAGCTCCCACTTGTAAGTGAGAACATGTGGTAATTGGTTTTCTATTTCTGAGTTCCTTCACTTAGAATAATGGCTCCACCCAAGTTGCTGCCAAAGACTCGATCTCATCCTTTTTATGGCTGCGTAATATTCCATGGTGTGTGCGTACCACATTTTCTGTGTCCACTCCTCAATGGTGGGCACTTACCCTGGTCCATATCTGTGCACCTGTAAACGGTGCTGCAGTAAACATGCGTGTGCAAGCGTCTTTGACGTATAACGACTTCTTTTCATCGTGAAGATGCCCTGTAGTGGGGTTGCTGGATAGAACGGCAGATTACTTTCAGTTCTTTGAGACATCTCAGCACCATTTTCCATAGAGATTCATGCAAATTTACATTCCCACCAGCAGCGAATGAGCGTTCCCTTCTACTTTCACCATATCTATACCAACGTCTATTGTTTTGTTTTGTTTTTTTATTTTTGTTTTTGAGATAGGGTCTTGCTCTGTCTTCCAGGCTGAAGTGCAGTGGTGTGATCTCTGCTCACTGCAACCTCCACCTCCTGGGTTCAAGCGATTCTTCTGCCTCAGCCTCCCGAGTAGCTGAGGCTACAGGTGCCTGCCATCAGACCTGGCTAATCTTTGCATTTTTAGTAGAGATGAGGTTTCACCATGTTAGCCAGGCTGGTCTCCAACTTCTGGCCTCAAGTGATCCACCCACCTCGGCCTCCTAAAGTGCTGGGATTACAGGCGTGAACCACTGTACCTGGCTCTATTGTTTTTTGACTTTACAATAATGGCCGGTCTTTCGGAAATAAAGTGGTATTGGTATCTCGTCGTGGCTTTGCTTTCACTTCTCTGATGATTAGCGGTGTTAAGCAACTTTTCATGTTTGTTGGTCATTTGCATATCTTTTTTTGAGAAATGTCTATTCATGTCATTTGCCCACTTTTGATGGGATTATTGGTTTATTTCGTGTGTGCTGATTTGTTTTGAGTCCTCGTAGATTCTGGATGTTAGTCCTTCGTCAGTTGCATAGTTCGCAAATATTTTCTCCCATCCTGTCGGTTGTCTGTTTACTCTGATGATTATTTCTTCTGCAATGCAGAAACTTTTTAGTTTAATTAAGTCTCCTTTATTTATTTCTGTTTTTGTTGCATTTGCTTTTGGGATCTTAGTCATAAATTCTTTGCCTAGGCCAAGCTCTTAAATATTTTTGCTAGGTTTTCTTGTAGAATTTTTATGGTTTTAGGTCTTAGATGTAAGCCTTTGATCCATCTTGAGTTGATCTTTTTATATGGTGAGAAATACGGATCCAGTTTCATTCTTCTACATGCAACTATCCAGTTTTCCCAGCAGCATTTATGCTGGGTGTCCTTTCCTCGGTTTATGTTTTTGTATGCTTTCTCAAAGATCAGTTGGTTGTAATTATCTGGCTTTATTTCTTGGTTCTCTCTTCTGTTCCGTTGGTCTATGTGTCTGTTTTTATAGCAGCACCATACTGTTTTGGTTACTGTAGGCTTGTAGTATAATTGAAGTCCAGTAATGTGGTGCCTTCAGATTGGTTCTTTTTGGTTAGGATTGTTTTGGGCATTCAGCCTCTTTTTTGGTTTCATATGAATTTTAGGATTTTTTTTTCTAATTCTGTAAAAAATGATGTCAGTGTTTTAATAGAAATTGCATTGAATCTGTAGATTGCTTTGGGCAGTATGGTCATTTTCATGATATTGATTCTTCCATTGATTCACCCCATACTCATCAATCCATGAGTATGGGATGTATTAATACTCATCAATCTCATACTCATCAATCCATAAGTATAGGATGTATTACTCATCAATCCATGAATATGGGATGTATTTCTTCCATTTGTTTCTGTCGTCTGTGATTTCTTTCAGCTGTGTTTTGTGGTTCTCCTTGTAGAGATTTTTCACCTCCTTGGTTAAATACATGCCTAGATATTTTATTCTATTTTTTGCAGCTGCTGTAAAAGGGGTTAAGTTCTCAATTTGATTCTCAGCTTGGTTGCTGTTGGCATGTAGCAGTGCTACTGATTTATGTACGTTGATTTTATAACCTGAAACTTTCGTGAACTCATTTATCAAATCTAGGAGTCTTTTGGAGGAGACTTTAGGGTTTTCTAGCTATATGATCATATCATAGGCAAACAGAAACACCGTGACTTCCTCTTTTTTGACTTGGATGCCCTTTCTTTCCTTCTCTTGCCTGATTGCTCTGGCTAGGACTTCCCTTGTCCTCAGTTTCTGCCTCAGCAGAAACAGGATCAGGACACCAGCTGTGCCCAGCACAATAGGGTGATTATGAGACTTGGGGGATGCCCAGAATGTGCAGAGGGCAGAGTTGGCTGCAGCCTAGGCTCCCAAGTGTGGAGAAGCGGAGGAGGCTGTGGCTCCGACTCAGGGTCCAGGACTCTCCCACCCCCCCAGCAGCTTCCAAGACCCGGAAGTGGTTAGAGTGGACCTGGCTCCGGGTTGCTGGGTCGCATGGGCAGAAGGGTCTTCCCCTTTGACCCTCACTGCTTCTCTCCCCAGGAAACTTGTGGTATCGCCAGGGGATCACGCCTAGCTACCCGCAGGGCTCCAGCTGGGAGCACGTGTCCAACAACGTGTGCCGAGTGTCCGTGGGGCCCCTGGACCAGGTAGGGGCACTCAAGGGGTATCACGCACTTGGGGTGCTCCAGTTCCTCTCATGTCTCCCCCATCCTGTGCCCAGCCGTCTCAGTGCAGCTGGGTCCAGGGACTTCATGGCATCTGTGCTCCAGGTCTGGGTGATCGCCAGCAAAGTGCAGGGCAGCCACAGCCTGAGCCGGGGGACGGTGTGTCATCGCACAGGCGTGCAGCCCCATGAGCCCAAGGGCCAGGGCTGGGACTACGGCATCGGGGTGAGGGGGCCCTCGGCTGGGACTATGTGGTACCCTCGTGCCTGCACTGGGCGCTAAAGACAGGGACGGCCACTGTGGGACACTTCCCCTGGGACCTGGGGTCAGAATTGGAGGGAGGCCCCTGGGCAGAGCCCCTCAGGCACCCTCGAGCCCCTGTGTCCCCCAGTGATACAGCTTTCTCCTTCCAGGGAGGCTGGGACCACATCTCTGTCCGGGCCAATGCCACCAGGGCGCCCCGGAGCTCATCCCAGGAGCAAGAGCCAAGTGTTCCACCAGAGGCCTATGGCCCCATCTGCTGCTGAGGAGCCCCCCTGCACCTAGATGCAGGGATGGTGCCCAGTTTGGGGGATCAAGGCTGAGTCATTCTTGTGCTGAAGTGTGCACTGGTGGAGGGATGTCACCCAGGCGGACTCAGGAGGGAACCTGGCCCCGAAGCTGTGGCCACTTCAGATGCACTGGCTGAGAGAGCCCCGAAATGTGAAGCTCTGCAGACACTCCCGCATGTGTCCCCATCTTCGAGGAGCCCGGGGTGTAGGGCATGGGGTGGGAGCTGCACCTCCCAGAGGCCCCAGCCCCTCCCACCCTTCCCTTATGCCTCTCCCTCCTGCCTTTCCAGGACTAGAACCTGGAACCTGGAGCCTGCCAGGAGCATGGGCCCTGGGGCAGCAGAGCCCAGGATGCCGCCCTACTGAGCTGGCATCTCAGACAGCACCTGGGTCCCGCCACCCCCGACCAAGAGAGATGGCCGTGGGGCTCAGGGCCTCTTTACCATGTGCAGTGACCCTTTCTCAGAGCAGGACTTGCAAGGAGGCTTTAATTTCACAAGTGAAGGAAGGAGGGTGGGCAAGGTGGCTCACGCCTGTAATCCCAGCACTTTGGGAAGTGAAGGCAGGCAGATCACCTGAGGTCAAGAGTTCAAGACCGGCCCGGCCAACATGGTGAAATCCCATTTCTACTAAAAATACAAAAATTAGCCAGGCGTGGTGGTGCATGCCTGTCATCCCAGCTACTCGGGAGGCTGAGACAGGAGAATTGCTTAAACTTACGCAGCAGAGGTTGCAGTGAGCCGAGATGGTGCCACTGCCCTCCAGCCTGAGCGACAGAGCAAGACTCCTCCTTCTTCAGCAGCAGGCATGAGCCACCTCACCCAGCCCTTGGCTGCTTTTGATCCCTTGTGCCCCCCATTTGGGGGTTTGCTTCCTCCACCTGGACACTTTGCCCAGGAGGTCATCAGACCCCAGCTCCAAGCTCTGCTCGGTTGGAGAGGGGATAACTTTGCCACCTCCTAACCTTCGTGGGGTTCTGGTCTCATTGTCAGCAGGGAGTCTGTTGTTTGTATCTGTACAGTTTTGCTGTACAGGGTTTGTCACCCAAAAGCTGACGCTGAGAAAGGTCTCCCTGGGGCCCCTCCCACGGGCATCTGAGGGACCTGGTGTTCCAGTGTTTCTGGAAGTAGGTCCTGGTGCCGCCGGGTGTGAGCTCTCAGATCAATCATGGGAAGGGCCTGGAGGTGGCAGCCACCTACAACCACCCTGTCCTGTCTGTTTACATTTCACTATCAGGTTTTCTCTGTGTGGGCATTACAGTCTGTTCCCCTACAATAGTGACCTGTGCATTCTGCTGTGACCTGCTGTGTCTGCAGGTGGCTCTCAGCAAGGCATGGGGAGGGCCTCACCCTGCAGGTCAGCAGAGTGATGCATCCTCTCGCTGCTGCGCACCAGCGGTTGACCTGCCTGGCACCACATCCTCGGATGCTTTACTCAATGAACATTTCCCCTGGAGTGTCAGTGCCATGCTGTTTTTATCGATAAATTGATTAAAACATGTGGCTCCCCGTGCGCTTGAAATAGCCATTGCCATGAAATCTTTTATTTTTGCTTTATGACACAGCATCCATTTCATGAATAAAGAGGCCATAAGAAAAAATAAGAGCCAATTTGGGTCAGTTGAGAAACATTTTCAGCACAATTGCAGTGGGGACACGGGCCCTTCGGCTCCAGCAGGGTTTTCCCAGATGGAACAATTGCAGTTCTGGCTTCTCTGCTGGTGGGAATGGGGATGGGGATGGGGATCGCACCTCTGGAGCTCTCAGGGCGCCTGTCTGCAGGGGGTGGGTGTGTCCACGGCCCCCAGGGGGACGTCACAGGGGTCTCTGACCCACTTGTCCAGGGACTTGAGGAAACTCATCCCGATGGCTGAGGTAGGGGCTCCCCACAGTATAAAAGGATCCAGCCTGACCTTGGGGTCCAAGAGGAAGGCCGAGAGGGTGGACATAGCCCCTTCCCCTCTCCTCCTCGAAACACTGGACACCCCAAAGTGGGACTATGGCTGCTAAGGATCCTGTGTGCTGTGGCCACAGGGCATTCCCTCTGTCCTAGGGGGATGAAGGACTGGGCGGCTCTGCCCAGGTCACCCTCTAGGAAGCAGAGGAGGTGGAAGTGCCAGTTCAGGGCAGAAACCATTGTCCTGAAGGTAGCCACCCCCAGGCCCTCCTGCTGCCCTGGGGAAGCCCTGGGCTGCAGATGGATGCTGGGCACGGTCTCCATCTCCTGGATCGAGGCTCCTCTGGGTTTTCAGGCTCAGCTTGTCGGTCCATTCAGCAAGTTCAGGGGCGAACCGAACCCTGCTCTGGCCACAACTCAGCCAGAAACAAGAGCTGCCAGGTTTGTAGCCCCCAAGTGCCCCCAATGGTGAGCTCTCTCATCTTGTGTCCCCATTGGGCAGGTGCCCTGCAGGGAGGCCCAGGCTCTCTCTGTCCCAAGCTCTCAGCTGCATCACTCTCAGCTCACAGGGATGGGTCACCCTGACCTTCCAGAGCACCCCCTCCTGAGAGACAGATCCTGCAGCCTAGGATCCCCACCCCGAGCCATGCTGAAGGACAACTGGGGCGGTAGGGCCAGGACCAGACCAGGCCTATGATTGAGTCTCCTTGAAATGAGACCAATGTGACCGGGCCACCTTTTGGAGACCCTGACCAGGAAAGTTAGGCCTAAAGTGGCCAATGCCAGATCCTCAGGGTGTCACCTGTGTCCTTACGTGGCCAGGGCTGACCCCAAGCCTGCTGCTGCATTCAGCATCTGGTGCCAAGATCCCCAACTTGGGAGGGCAAGGCCACCTGGTGGGGACAGGCTGGCCAGAGCCCTCGGCCTCTGCTGTGGCAGCCACATCCCCGGCCTGGCATGGCCCTGAGGGCCTTTGAGACATCTCTGGGCAGAGGCACGAGGGAGGAGAGAGCCAAGTGGCCAAGTCTGGCAGAGCCAGTGGGGCAGGAATGCCCAGAAGGAAGCTGGGCTTGGGGCAGCAGGGACGTGCCAAGTCGCCAGGCCCGGCCATGAGGACGAAGCACCTGGGCGGGGGGAGGGACATACCTGCCACCCCCAGGCTCCACCACGCAGAGGGCCTTGCTGGTTGCCAACTCAAACCAGGACGAAAGCACGCTGTAATGTCCTACAGACAGCATGGCGCCAATTACATGACAAGCCACACCAGAGACAATAAGTAATGGCAGAGGCGGGGCTGGGGGGTGCACACTTGCTCCCTGCACAGGTGAGGGCTGAGCAGGAGGCCTCAGAGCCATCTTGGGGAGTGACCCTAGGTCTCAGGACTTCTCTCCCATGCCCAGAAGGGCTGCACTAGGAACATCCTGCCCTGTCACCTGCTCCAGCTCCATGATGCCCCTCAGACACTGCCCCAGACCCTCCACAACCTGGCACAGCCTGGAGTCACCACCTCCAGGAGCCTGACTCGGGAGGAGGGAGGAAGAGATTCCAGCCCCTCCCCAACCTGGCACAGCCTGGAGTCACCACCTCCAGGAGCCTGACTTGGGAGGAGGGAGGAAGAGACTCCAGCCCCTCCCCACCATTCAACCTTTGAGGATGAATGTGAGGTCATCTGCCCTGAGCAGCCTTGGGCTCTGCCAGGCTTGTCCTGGGCCTCAGTTTACCCCAAATGAGGGTGCTAAGCCCAGGCCCCAGGCAGCCCTACAATGAAGGTTGGAGGGGGGTCTTTGCAGGGCCTTGGCCTTGGAAACCTGTAAGTAACTTTTTCCTGGGATCTCCCCTTGCCCTGGAGGACGTTGGGGTGAAGAGACTTTAGTTCCAAGGCTAAGGAAGGCCTTTCAGCACCCGCTGAGACCACCTGGCTCAAAAAAGGAGGACCCCCTGGGCCCTACCCAGAGGTTTGGGCATGCCGCTGTTTGGGGCTACAACCTCAACCAGCCCACTCACTGGTCCCCAGCCGGGCAGGAAAAATTGCTCCAGGAAAGTGACTGAATGTTCGGGGAAAATGGAGCAGCTGGGGCTGCGTCCTCGTGAGGTGTCACCACCCATCTGGGCCTCGTGGCTTGAAAGGGCCGGGGCTGGGAGAAGCAGGCCAGGCCACCACAGCCACCGCCACCCCCACCCACAGCCAGGCACTAGGTGCCTTCTCGGAAGCTGTGGATCTGCGTGGAGTACTTCTGCAGGTGACCCTGGGGCTGGGCCTCTGTGGTCCCCAGTGTGCCCCCAGCCGCCTGCTGCTGCTGCTGGTAGTGCTGGTAGAGCTTGGGGCCCGGCCCCTCCAGACCTGGGAGGCGGCTGCTGGACATGGTGAGGATGGTGGCCGTCAGCGATTTGATGTAGTTCTTGGCCAGCGTGAGGGTCTCGATCTTGGAGAGCTTCTTGTCTGCGCGCACGTGGGGGATGACCTCTCGTAGGGCCTGGAAGGCGTTATTGAGCTTGTGCATTCGCTGCCGCTCTCGCTCGTTGCTCTCCAGCCGCCGCTGGATGCTACTGTCCCGACGGCCCCCAGGCCCGGACGGTCCTGGCCGCCTGCGCCCGCCCTCGCCCCGAGGCCCTGCTGCCGCTCGGGCTGGCCGGCTCCGCAGACTCTTGGCAGGCTCTGGGCCTGGGCTGGGCAGGGGCCCATCGGGAGTCCCCTGCCCAGGGGTGGCCTCTGTGTCCTGCACTGGGGCCCGGCGCCGTGGGGGCCGGTTCTTGGTCTTCATGGCCCTGTCCCAGGAGGTGGCAGCGAGGAGGTGAGGCCCTTGGAGCTGAAATCCAGAATACAGGACACTGGTCACCCCACATGGACAGGGGACCCGCTGGGGTGCCATCCCTGGCAGCTTCCTCCTGCTAACAGCAATGGTACTGGGGCAGGGGTTGGTGCTCGACACCTGGAGGTCCTTCTGTTCACACCTTAGCCCTGGGCTGACCCCACACCCCACCATGCCCCTGCTTCACCTCATACAGACCCCTGGAACCTGTCCCCATCCCTGTGCCCCCCTTTCCCCTGGTTGACACCCTGACCCCCGGATCTTTCTCTGGCCCCATGCCCCTTACTGCTCTCTGAACGCCTCCTGAGCTCGGTGACCTTTGCACTTTGCCTAGACCAACCTGAGATGTGTCCCCCACCCTAGCTTAGGGGGTGCCTCTGCCGAAGGCGGCATTGACTCCTTCGCCCAGTGGGCAGGCAGTGAATCCAGCCACCAAGCTCTCGCAAGAACACGCGCAAGAACAGCGCTAGAACCAGAACCACTGCAGACATGGGGCAGCCGTGGAGGTCAGAGGTCGGCAATGGCCAGGGCCTGGCGACAGCCCCCAGTGCCACCACGTGGATGGACCCGTGGGGGCTCCAGACAGACCCCAAGTCCCCCACTAGGGTTTCCTCCCAACCCCCACAACCCCACCGCTAGGTCCTGCCCCTGGCTTCCCTCCCCGCGGCCCTACCCGAGTTCCCAGCTCCCGGGTTACCTGGGGATCCGCGGCCGCACGCGCCGAGGCTGCCCACGGGGGACAAGGACACGTCGCTTTAGCCGCCCCGGGCGGGGCTGCGGACTCATGCAAATGAACCCTCTGGGCGGGGCCGGGGCGGAGCCGGGGTCTGGATGTCCCGGGCGGGCGCCGGGCGGCCGTGGCAGCACCTGCGGCGGGCGGGCGGCGCCCGGGGCTCTAGGACCAGGTGGCCGCACAGCCCCGCCCCCAGCTTCCGCCCCGCCCCCGAGATAGACAGCCGCCCCCACCCGCCTCTCCCCATCCCCTCCCTACAGCACCCCCACCGTCGTCCCTCCAGACAGCCGCCGCCACACGCCTCTCCACAACCTCCCCCTCTAGCCTCAGCCACCCGCCCCGAGATAGCTTCCCCTCATCAGTCTCTCTCCATTCTTCCCCTACAGCCACCTCAAGACAGCCTGCATCCATCCCCGTTTCCCCTACTCTCGTCTCCCAGAACAGCCTCTCCACAAACTGGTTTTTCTCATCCTCCCCCTCAGATTCCACCCGCACCTCCCCCACATCCGTGCGCGAGACAGGCTCCCCACACCCGCCTTTCCCGACCCTCTCCCGTCACAGCACCCCCACATCCATTCCTCCCGCGACCCTCCATCCCGGCCCCTCCACCTGTGGCGGGGACCCAGGCCCATTCCGCGGATGGGGAAACTTGAGGTCTCTGGGAGCTGCCAGGCTGAGGGGCAGGCCCAGTTCAGGCTCAGAACACAGGGCCCAGGGCCCAGGAGCACTAGGTTAGGAGCCGCTCGGCGAAAACGCCAGCATCTCACAGCGGCTCCTGCGCCTTGCCGCCCTGGATGGTTAGGGGACCCTGGGGCTCCTACGGGTGGACGCCGAGCTGAGGTGGGAGTGGGGGTCTCCCTGGGCAGGTGTGCGGTCCATAGGAACGCCTTTTATGTTTTTTTGTTTGTTTTTTTTAGACAGGGTTTCGCTCTGTCGCCCAGGCTGGAGAGCAATGGCACCATCTCAGTTCACTGCAACCTCCACCTCCTGGAGTTCAAGCGATTCTCCTGCCTCAGCCTCCAGAGTAGCTGGGATTACAGGCGAGCGCTACCACGCCCAGCTAAGTTTTGTATTTTTAGTAGAGAAGAGGTTTCACCACATTGGCCAGGCTGGTCTTGAACTGCTGACCTCATGTGATCCATCCACCTTGGCCTCCCGAAGTGCTGGAATTACAGGTGTGAGCCACCTCGCCCAGCGGTTTTTATGGGCTCTGGGTCTCCCAGGTAGGGAGACAGGTGGCTTGGGCTCAAAACCAGCTCTGCTGCCCCGTGCCTCGGTTTGCTCACCAGTTTCAGGGGGAATAAAAAGTGCTTAAAGCATTTTTTTTTTTTTTTTTTTTGAGATGGAGTCTTGCTACCTGGGAGACCCAGAGCCCATAAAAAACCAGCTGGGTTCAGTGGCTCGCGCCTGTAATCCCAGCACTTTGGGAGGCCGAGGTGGATGGATCACTTGAGGTCAAGAGTTCGACACCAGGCCAACATGGTGAAACTCCATCTCTACTAAAATACAAAACTTAGCTGGGCGTGGTAGCGTGCGCCTGTAATCCCAGCTACTCGAAAGGCTGAGGCAGGAGAATTGCTTGAACCCAGGAGGTGGAGGTTGCAGTGAGCTGAGATGGCGCCACTGCACTCCAGCCTGGGCAACAGAGCCAGACTCCCTCTCAAAAAAAAAAAAAGCGGGGGACGAGGGCAGTGGCCACGGGGCAGAAGCTGCAGGTGCTCAAGGCAGGGCAGGACCAGGCCACTCACCTGGGTGTCCCTTGCATGGTGGACAAAATACAGAAGAAATGCTGCAACAGAGTTTATAAATATATAACTATATTTATTTTGAATATTAAATAGTTTTTAAATTACAAGCAATTTGTTCAATCACACTATGCATCAATATACAGTAAAAATCTTACAATTTAAAAATGTACACAATTTAAACTGAAAGTCCATTGACTTACATTGCCATGAACCTCTTTTGCCTGTGTTAAAGGACAGCAGGGAGGCCTGGTGGGTATGGCGGCCCCTGTGTCCTCCCCTGCACACAGAATCCGATGGGAGATACATACACCAGTCCCATGATGAAGATACCGGCACGTGTCAACGCCGGTCAAACTCATCTTCACAGGCTGTTGGAAATTCAATACTGTCAACACATCTTTAAGGATTTATAGACAAAAGAGAATGTTCTTTGTAAATAAAGACTTGAGCCAACCCCATTGCTACTTAGGAATATTGTTTTGGAGATTTCCACTGGAAGTCACTGTGCACACCCCTTCTTTTTATAAGGCTACTTCTCATAAGGCTCATGTTTTGAAGCCCCTCTAACAGAAGCCCAACCTTTGACGTCTAACCCTTGGTTGACTTCTGAATTTTTAGATGATGGGCTGAGTTGGGGAAGAGTCAGGCGGTGCCTTCCTTCCACTGGGCCCTGGGGACAGACATGCAGAAGGCCCTAAGCTCTAGACACCCTACGGGAACAGGGATAAAAGGAGGGGGTACGGAAAGGCCTTTTACAGCAGCAAGACAACCCAAGACTTTTCTTAGATAAATCCATTTCTACAGAAACAATTGAACCTGGACATTGGATGCTGCCTGCAATTCAGCTTGGTCAAGCTTTCTGCACCCTGACGATGAATGGCTTCTCGTCCAGACACATGGGCCAAGTCTCAGAAGGATTTGGGGAGCACTTTTTCTGTGTTGCCCTTTCTGGCTTATTGATGGGGTCATTTGAAAAGACAAATTAGCATCTAGCTAGAAAGAGAATGAAAGCTAGATTATTTTTGTTACAGGATTGAAAATGTACAAACTCCACCAAAACAGGACTAATTCAGATTCTGGGTTGGTACCCACAGAAGGCCAGAGAATATTCTAACCCCCCCTCCACATCATCTAGAGAGTGCCACTGATTTATTTCATTGCATGACTTATTGGAACAAGTACATTTTGAAAACCCACCACTGGTAACCAACTTATTAGTTAAAAAACAACAAAAAACTGAGCCGAACACAGCACATGCTGACATCTGAAAAATGGGCTGCAATTTTTATTCTACTTAAATTTCCTGTGTATTGCTTGAGATCTCAAAAGAACATGTTAACCCACGTGATTATAAATATAAAATCTTCCCCTCCATGCAACACCACAAAGATCCACTACCCCCCCAACTCAATGTAGAAAATGTTTTTTTGGCAATTAATTATGAGTAACTCAAAATAAATAAAAACGGAAATTGTGTTGTTAAAATCTTTTTATTTATTTATTTTTGAGGCAGGGTCTGGCTCTGTCACCCAGGCTAGAGTACAGTGGCATGATCTCGGCTCACTGCAACCTCCATCTCCCGGGCTCAAGCCATCCCCTCGCCTCAGCCTCCCAAGTAGCTGGGACTACAGGTGCATGCCACTATGCGCCCAACTAGTTTTTTTTTTTTTTTGTATTTTTTGTAGAGGCGGGGTTTCACCATGTTGCCCCCAGGCTGGTCATGAATTCCTGGGCTCAAGGCAATCCACCCGCCTCGGCCTCCCACTGCACTGGGATTGCAGGCATGAGCCACTGCGCCCGGCCAAAATCTTAATCCTAGTGGAAAATGGACAGTCCCAAAAGGTCAATAAATTTCCTTGAGGCTGACACTTTATAAGAAGATGACAGATTCCACGGATCTGTGCGACTTTGGTCATTAAATCTGAACTCCTTAAACCTGCAACTGGAAAAAGTAGTATAATCATGTCTCATTTCTCCTCAGCCAAGACTAATCTTAGATGTAAAAACTGAGAAAACTCAGGAAGTCCCACAGCAAGAATGTAGTCATGACAATTTTGGCAAAATCATCTTCTAATGCCCTGTTAATTTTTTCTTTTAAATCCACGCATCCTGAGAACTGGTGCACCCTGGACAGCCCAGGGGGGCGCTGTGTCCACCCCAGGCCTGGGCAGAAGGGGACTCTCTCCATCCTACACTTCTTGCTTTGGAAAGTTATTGCTTTGTGTAAAAAATGAGAGGAGTGGATCACAACTGGCAATGAAGTCATCATCTGCGATGCACACTCTGGCAATGTCCACACCACCTGCATTTTGCACTGGGGTTCGACTTCCTTCTAGGTACCCAAAGCGGCCCCTGCAGAGGTCTGGAGAGCCGCCCTGGGTTGCGCTGGAGTCTGGAAACGTATCAGCACCGGAAATATGTGGGGTGAAGAGTGAGGGTGATGGGATCGCAGGCCTCAGGAGCCCCGAAGGAACGGCTGCCTCCCCAGCACAGCGTGGCGGCATGGCACCAGCCACTGGGGACTTTTTATGTCAGAGCAGAACTCAGGGAGGGAGGGGTGAGGTCGTGCATGACCGACCGGGCTCGTGCCCACGTAATGAAGCTACATGGGAGCACTCGGGCCCTTTCAAAGCTGGACGAGACCTTGTGGCTTAATGCAGAAGGGAGGGTAGGTGCAGATGAATCCCCACCACGCAGGACCAGCCAAGGTCCCGACCCAGACCATGTATCAACTGCTGACGCTCTGCTGTCATCCCTTGTCTATCCCCCTTCACAGCTTCGGGATGTGGTGTTATTTCATCCCACAGGGGATAATCAGAGACTAGCCAGGCCTGGACGTGACGTGGAGTGGCTCGCAGGGGAAGATTCAGCTATGGAGGTGTTTTTAAAGCTCAAGTCCCCACCACCTGAAGTGTGCACACATCATCAACTCAAACCGTCCTCCCTGGCCGGCACGCTCTGCGGAGATTCGGCTGTCTTGCGTTCTCAGCTTCTCGAAGGAAAGACTGATGGGAACACGGAAGCTTCCCAGTATCCTGCCCTCCGAAAACCAGATAGAAGAGCTGCACGGAGGGAAGCGGAGTGGTGGCCTCACGCGGGCTGCAGCTCTCCCTACCTGCCACACCAGCACGTACATCCCCAGGGATGGGCCGGATCCATCTGAGGTTTGGGGCGCACGACCTGTCAATTTTTACCAAAAGGGCTTTAAAAAGTTGGACGTGGGCTGGGAGAACGACAAGGAGAGGCTGCAGGACCTTTCAGCTCTTCAGAGAGAAGCCTCATTTGCTGTGAGGAATCCGCTTCATTGAGAAGAGACAAAAATGTGTTCAATTCCATCAACAAAACAGTGGTTATTTGGACTCAGTGAAAATATTTCCTATAAGAACATAAAACACTAACATTCAGAATCATTTATCATTTATGAAAGAGTACCATATGTACAATTCCAACAATCCTAGAGACAGCAGAACATTCAAAGTATTTAAGCTTTACAAGTACCATGCAGCACAAACAAACTATAAAACAGAAAAAAAAAATCAAACTAGTGGATAGCACCAGCTTGACCTGCCTCAATTTCTTTGAATAATTTTCTATACAACATTGGAGACTCTCAGAACATTTACCCACAGTGCAATTACAGAAAGCAATTCGTGATTTCTCTAGAAATAATAAATATGGCTCACTGGTGACCATTCCTCTCGCGTGTCCTCCGTGGTGCCCGCGTGTGGGCCAGGATGTGCAGGCGTGGATGTGGAGACGCCCCTGTGGAAAGCACACACATCTGGTGTGCACAGCTCCATGCACGTGTGCACACAGAGGTCGTGCCTGTGCCTCCCCCAATGGGCAGTGTGTGGGCACTGCC